TTTTTTTTTTTTTTTTGATACCAGGGATCAAACTCGGGACCTCATGCTTGTGAGGCAGGTGATGGAACCACTAAGCTAAATCCCTGGCCCGACTTTGCATTTTTGCAGAGGATTTTTTTTTTTAACCGGGGATTGAACTTGGGTTCTTGTGCTTTGGAGGCAGGCAGCAGCACCACTGAGGTAAACCCCTGGCAGCTGACTTTGCATTTTTGATAACTTATTCTTTAGACACCAGAATCAATCCTAACACTAGTCCTTTAAATTACAACACTCAAAATAGGCTTCCAGAATTACTGCTCTATATCCATAAATGATTTTTGGTATAATATCATGTGGGCTTGCCTTAATACATTCTGATGGTAGTTTGAGTACTAATAATAGTCTTTAAGATAATTTTCTAAAACGTAAAAACCAAGTGTTTCATAAGTGATACTAAATATCCAACATTTTAAGTTAGTGGTTTTTGTTTTGTAACAGTATTCTTCTATATGAAACAAAAGTCATATGTTTTAATAAGAATATTAAGCTTTGATATGCACTCCTAATTTTGATTTCTCCTTTTCTAAGAAGGGAGAAATAAGGAAGCAATTATTTGAATATACAATATATTTTTCTTACTAATGTATTAATTTTAAAGAATTGCATTGCTTATGTATGTTTGTATTAATTTTACATTCTGTTGATTGTCCTCACCTTAGAAATGTATAATCAGTGGCCAGGCAATTAGCTGAGTGGTTCCGCCACCTACCTCACAAGCACAAGGTCCTGAGTTCGATCCCCAGTACCAAAAAAAAAAAAAGAAAGAAATTTATAATCAGTTTTTAAATCTAGTGTGGCTTGAATGTAGGAGACTATAGGAACTCTGCCTTCATTGTGGACTCAGGAAATAAAAGATTAGCTTTTATTTTTATTTTTTAATTTTTTTTGGTACCGGGGATCGAACTTGGGTCCTTGCGCTTGCAAGGCAGGCCACTGAACCGCTGAGCTAAATCCCCGGCCCAAAGATTAGCTTTTAAAAGACACTAAAGAAGGAAATCTTTATAGAGGTTTTGTTTTTTTTTTTTGGTGGTGGTGATACTAGGAATTGGAGTTAAGGTCTTGTCCATTATAAGTATGTGCTCTATTACTGAACTACCCCCTGCATGTTATGTTTAAATTAAATACATGGTATGAATGATTTCTGGATTGCCTGTGTCAGTGGTGGCGAACCTATGGCACATGTGCCACAGTGGGCTGTTTGTGTCATTGAAAGCTCTAAAAGGTTTGCCATCACTGGCCTGTGTATTCCATTATTGTGGAATAATAGGAATTTATAAATATTATTCATAAATTATAATGTTTCTGTTAATCAAAAGTTGACCTATGAATATCAAATATATAACTGATATAAAATGAGTGTCAAATGTACTTTATATAATGTATTCAGAGATAATTAAAAACAGTGTTCAGAGAAAATTAAAGTTAACTCTCAGTTACCAGTTGTAGGTATTTTTACTATTTGGGGAGGAAAGATTGTGTGGGTAGACACTTGAAATTTCTGCTTTTAACTGTGAATCTAGGATGTAATTACTCCATAGTAAAACTTCATAAAGGCTTAGATCATTTAGCTGTTACTGCTTCTTTTCAACCGTTTTTGATTTTGAGGGAAAAGGTGGTTCATAACTTTTAAGCAAACTGTTCTCCTGCTTGCTTCTCATTTCAAATAATGAAACTTACAGAGGAGAAATGATATTCCCTAAAACTCAGGACAGTTATTGGTGTCGTGGGTACTGGAAGCATAGTATAATTAAATTGATATTATGGGAAGCCTGAATTTTCCCTTTGGATACTATTTGTTTTTAAAGAAAACCTGAATGCATATATTCTGCGAATATATTCTTAAATTTTTGTAGGTTAAACTTTTTCTAGTAATGCTATGGTTGTTTTTGAATGACTTCTTTTGGAGATATTGGTAAATTATTTTCAGTCTTCTCAGTGGTGGCAAATCTTTATAACCTGAGAATACATTTAGTGTTAAAATAGTCAGGGTTCTTTTGAGGCCAAATCTGGTAAGTGAGGTATGTGATACATTGTTGAGCAATGCTGTTTAAGTTAAAAAAGGGTGGGGGGGAATTTGTTGATCTTAATTGATTTCGAAAACAGTTCTATGGAATTCTGAAAGAGTAGCAGTGATTGTTATACTTTCTGGGTATCTTCAGAGTCTCCAGCTCTCCCACAATTCCATTAAAGAACTTATAACCACGCTCTTTCCTAATGAAGTGGATTATGTACATGAAATATCTGTGGACAAGTTTATCTAAGCCACAGTTGTTTATCTTGGGTGGCCCTAGTTTCAGAGACATCATTTAAAAATGAATGTGCTGGGCCAGGGATTTAGCTCAGTGGTTCTGCTGCCTGCCTTGCAAGCACAAGGAGCTGAGTTTCATCCCTGGCACAAAAAAAAAAAAAAAAAAAAAAA